CCATAGTTATGGCTAAAGCTAGCAGCTTTTGACCATGGCAATAGCTCAAAGTGGAAATGTGGAATTTTGAATTCACAATGAAGGTGAACGACGAATGAAGAGAGAAGATAGCGACATAGCATAGAGGTAATGGGAGAGTAGGAGTGAAGTGCGACAGACGACAGACCTAAAGACTCTTTTGTAGAGGGGTGGAAGTGAAATTAATAGAGAATAGGAAAAGCTTTAATTTTAGATGATTTCTTGGTCTTCCTCGTGCTCTAGCGCAGAAATCTTTTTAACCATGAAATTTTAACCCTTGTATTTTTTTTAAATATTGTTCCATTAGTTTTAAACTTTTTATTTTTTTTAATTAGAGTATTTTATTATTATTAAAATTATTGTTGTATTTGTATGACATTACTCTTAAATATGGATAAATATTTTAATAATTAATATTTTTTATTTAAATTTTATTATTTTAATTATGACCGGTTTGACTTCGATTTAACCCCCCATTGAACCACTAACCCTTAAATTAGTGTCTTGATCGGTTCAATGATCGGTCTGGTTTTTCAGTACATTGGATTTCATAAAAGTTTAGCAACCATTTAAAATCATTTAACATACGTAAATCACATACATCAAGCTTCCCTGTCTCGACCTCTGCTTACTCACCTTGACTTGCAGAACCACTCACCCCGGCCTATAACTCAACTCGCCTAGGTGAGGGCTTGCCTCATTGGCCTCAATAGGCATTTACTCACTTCGATGAAATGCTACTTACTCACCTAAGCTAATTTCAATCCATATTCTCATATATTATAGTTTTAAATATTTTTTAATGTTGTAATTTATAATATTTAGATTCAGGGAAATTAGTACAACATTATAATTATATATTTATAATAATTATATTCAAGCTACAGTATGTATTATAGTATAAATAAATTATAATATAATATTATAATTAATTTTCTCATCTTTTTTTGAATGTCCTTTCTTCATCCCCATTCACCTGAATCACTTCTTGATCTACTCCCTACCTTTTTCCTCTTCTTTTCATCTCTACTTATCGCACTCCCTTCTCAGCCCTCATATTATAATTAATAACTTTCTTCACCTCTAATCTCCTCCCATTTGATCAATTAAAAGGAAAGTCCCATTTGATTTCTTTATTTACCAGTTGACAAATCAAAATGCAGATCTTAGAGAGCAAAGAGCATATAGCAAAGAATGAAGAGCAAGGAATAAAATGAAGGTGGGATAGATGCACAAAGATCGACAACCAATGAAAGGGAATAGTAATCAAATAAGAAAAGAGACAACGCCAACTTAATGGACTGCAACCTCGATGGACAGCGATGGCTGTGATTACATGCATTAGAAGTAGAGATCACACAAAGAGAAGAACAAGGAAGAGATAAGCCATGGATCTGGTAAGGTGAGAGGATAAGGATGAGAGAGAATTTGACAATTATTTAATGATCACTATCGTTTTGAAGTTGAAGCGAGTCAAGAAGCTTAAATTTTGGCTTCAATAGAAATGCTTGTTTAACCCTGAAGTGGATTGATATTTTTCCATGCTAAATAATTTTTAGCAATGTTAATAAGCTTTTTATCTCCAAATTGAGGTTTGGACTATCCCAACCTCGATTAGAGGGTAAACCAAACATATAAATGATTTTGGCATCCTTGATGCTTCTTATACTATGACTATGCATAATCATGGTGGTTGAGAGTCTTGGTTTAGACCAAATGAAGGAGAAGTTTGACTTGATATGGATGGTTCTGTTCATGAAGGGATTGGACAACGTGAGGGAGTCATTAGAGATCATCTAGGTGGATTAGTATTTTTAATGCTTGTGTAGGTACGTATCCAGTTGCTCTAGTAGTATTACTAGGTATTCTTTATGGCCTCCAATTATGTTGGGAGAAAGGTTGCTGCAAGATAAGATTGTTTACTAATTATGCTAACGGCGTTAACCTTATTCTTCACAACAAGAATGATCAGCACCCTATAGAGAGATTATAGATTAGATTATTCTTTTTGTTTATAGGAATTGGCTGGTTATTATTAACTTCATGTTTGGAGAAGATAACTTATGTGCTTACTATTTACCTAGTAATGTCGAGATTCAGTTAGCTTTTTAGACTATTTTTGATCAACCATGATGGGAGGAAGTCCTCTCTTGATCATGTTTTATGTAAGCTTGTTTGGTTTTATATCTCGTTTCCATTCAAAAATAATTAAAATATATTTTTATCTCTATACTTTCCTTCAAATAGCAGTGGACATCCTATATTAGTACATGAAGTATTTTTCTTCTCAAACTATTTTTTAGAGGAGTAAAAATTCTAAAACAAAATGAGATCAATTTTCCATTGAATAGTTCAAAACATTAACAAATAGAAATTTTCACTTATATATTATGCATTTTGATTTTTAGTTTGTATAAAAATAAATATAAGATATATAAACTAAATATAAGAATATATAAACTAAATATAAGATATATAAACTAAAAAAAATCCAAAAAATATTAATAATTGATAATTAATATATAATATAAAAGACCAAAAAACCAACAATCTTTAAAAAATTTCAATATATATACAAAACTCTTTTTTGAAATTAGAATATTCTTTGATTTCAACTAGGGGTGGAAAGAGGGGGACCCGTAGGTGCCACGGCTCCTTAACATTTTAATTTTTTTAGTAAAATATAGGGGTTGTATATTTTTAGTTTCCTTGAGTTGGCACATTATAAAGTTATAAAAAACTAAATGAAATTTTCATTTTAATTATATATATATATATATATATATATTCTTTTACATATGTATAGAGCAATTATTTTAATAACTTAAAGATATAATTGTCATTGTATATACTTATTTTTAATAAGATAATGATATACATGCTCTTAACATATTGATGTCATTTTATTTTGCTTTCATTTTATATTCAATGAAAGAAATTGTGAAAATTATTATTAACAGATTTTGTTAAGCATTGCAACAAAAATTTCAAGGTATATTAAATGTTATGTACTTGATATCTATTATAAAATTACTTATCCAAAAATTAAGAAGTTTGGTGAAAATGTTCTTCTAAAAAAATTATTTTCTTTAAAATAATCAAGCTATTAAAATTTATTATATGAATAATTTTTACTTTAATATAATTTAATCTCATTGACATAAATGTTTTATGACAATTAAATATTATTAATTTGGTAATATATTTGTTTACTATAATTATCAATTAAAAAAATTAGATAATAAATTTAATAAGTAAGTAATATAGCTTATTACATTGAACAGAACTTTAAATTTTAATGATATATTTAAATCATTTAATGCTCACGAGAATAATAAAATTTTTACTAACTTAATGATAATTAAATATTTATTGTAAACATAATAACTAATTATTTTATATCATAAAAAATTGATAAGCAAAACTTAAAATATGTATATGTATATTGTTATACATGTGTAAAATTAAATATATATCTATATATATATGTGTTGAAATATTTATATTATGTCAGTGATATATATATATATATATAGTGATATATATATATATATATATATTTAACTTTTTTTAATTATCATATATACTTTATCATCTCAATCTCTTTAATAAAAATTCCTGACTTTATCCCTGTTCTAGCTAATTCAGATTATTTCAATGCTTGTTCACTAATGGAAGGGGATTTTCGCCCCTTTGAAGCATAAGTAAGGGAAAAAATGCTCCATTTATTAATACATGATGTCTAACACTTTTTTAAGAAAAGTATAAGGGCAAAAATATATCTTAATCCTTAAAAAAAAAAAAAGACCTGCTTACCATTTGAACTAGTCCAAGTGAAACGCCAACCAATTATATTTCTTCATTGTTTTTCTGAGGTCAATTTGTTCAAATTAAACTTTTTCATTTGAACCAGCCCTATTAAAATTGAACTGCAATTTTATCCCAACCCCCCTTATTCTGTTTTAACGAAAAAGGCTTTTATGCCCCGCCAGCCTCTGTGCTTGCTTGCCTTCATTGCTTACTCTGGAATGTTCATCTGGACCGGGCCCATAGTAGATCAGCAAATTAAATTGGGTTAGTCCAATAAATAAAATAAGTATGAGCCGTCTTAGCCCGATGGCAGTTTAATGGTCCTGCTCATTAATCGAAGGTCATTCCACAGGCATTTTGAGAGAGATCCCATCCAATGAATAAGTGCAAAAGCTTTTAATATTTCGTTTAACAATTTATCAGTTTATCACCTAATTTATTCGAGCTATAAAGAATGTTTGAAATTACTATTGATATTTTTTCAATCTTTTATCGCTTTTCCATAATTTTCATTATCAGAAAATTACAACTTACAGTTCTTTAGGTGATAGAAGCCTTCAATGATTATTATTACCACATGTTAAGCTTATATAAGTCTTATTAGGGAAAAAAATATTATATAATTTTTTTAATGCCCCAAGTTTTAATTTTCCAATAGTGAAAGTAATGAAAAAAGTGATAATAGATATTTAAAAAATATCGGCAATAGTTTGAAATTTTATCTAGAACTCCGATAAATTAATAACACCATAAAATTGGCAAAATTATTTCTATTAATTCAAGCCATAACCAGAGTCTTCTAATGTTTGATGAACAAAAAACGTCAATTCATGAACATTTGTTTCAGAGCCATTTGGAATGGGAGGAATAGTGAATAACCCATGTGTGTTCCCACTAGACATGGCCTGAAAGAGATTTTCATCCCTTTTTCCATCGGGGCAATTTCTTTTTTCTTTTTTTTATTTTTTGAAAAAAATCATCAAGAAAAATGGTCAGAAAAAGGAGAAGAAAGAATAACTCTCCCACCCTCCCTCCCTCCCTCTCACACATCACAGAGATACGCGTTCACACTTCAGAGTGTCATATCTAACGAGATAAAATGAGATGATGCAGTCCATGTCATGCTAACATTAACAACAGGAAATGTATATATAATTTGAGAGTGAGGACTTGATGCAACATAACGGGAGAGATTAACTAATGGCCTGAATAGTAATACTGTCTTATATAATTCAAGTTATCATGCTAACAGGGTCTTCGTTAATGCTACTTGTCGGTCCTAGAAGTCCGGGTTCTGATCTAGTAACCACACCGCGTGAAGGTGATTTTATATAGAGTTGCAACAAATTAATCAAACAAGTAGCAACTTAAGGATAATGAGGCACAAGAGTGGCCCAGTAGGGCAGTGAAACGTTGCTATAATCCTCTACAGTGAAAGAATAATTGGCCTCTGCAATATTCTGCTGATGATGGCTCGTTGCTCCCCGTGGCTGCGTGTTAGAGCTACGCAGCGCTGCCTCGGACGTGCTTTCCACTGTTTCTTCCCCAGAAACTTCTGTATAACCTGCAGAAACTTGTGTCTTTGACGCTTGCTCTCTTAGTATTGCCTTCAACTTCACAACCTACAGTTATACATATAGCACCTTTCTAGGAATTAGCCACCCTACCCCATTGTCCCCTTTTATGTGTCAAGCATATGCGTATTGTAGGGGTTGGGGGAATGTATTGTTCAAACCTCAGCATGTAAACCTCGAGAAAAGCAAGACAAAAAAAAAAAAAACGAAGACGGCCGGCCGTTTGTTGAAACGAGTTAATGAAAGGCATAATATATCGAGTTCAAAAGACAGACACAGAGTCATTGATCTGAAGAAAGCTATCTGTGGAGACATACAGTGAAGGGTCCTTGTCTTGCGAAAACTGAATGATGTGCATGAGCTGCATGGTGGGGGGAGAGAGATAGAGAGACGCAGAACTAAAAAAATATACGCATGGCAGTAAGCGTACCTCTTCTTGAAGCCTCTGTTTTTCCTCAGATATAGCATCAAATTCTTGTTTGAGGGCATCATACAAGTTCTCGAGCTGCTTAGCCTTCCACCTAGCACGCCTATTTTGAAACCATACAGCGATTTGGCGAGGCTGCAGCCCTAGCTCCCTCGAGAGCTTCATCTTCCTATCAGGGTCCAACTTTATCTCCTCCTGGAAACTCCTCTCCAGCGACTCAAGCTGCTCGCTCGTTAGTCGCTTCTTCTTCTCCATCTGGTTTCCGTACTTTATTTTCTCCATATCCGGAACCAACCCTTGTGCTGCTGCTCCGTGTTTCACTTCCATTCCTGAATGTATAGCAGAGGGTCATGAGTACTGCACTACACTGTTGCTTGGGATTCAAGTTATTCAATTTCAGAATTGGACTCATATAGTCTATAACTAGGCTGGCTGAAGGTGAGGTCATTTTAGCTGAAGTTGCTTCGATATAAACTAGGAGTGAAAGGGAAATGCAACTTGACAATGGATAATGGAGGTCAAAGCTTGAAAAGACTAAAGCTAGTGCTTATTTGCTGCTGTTTACCTGGATATGGGCTGCAGTTATAGTTGTAGAGGAAACTTAAGGAAGACTCAGCTCGAGGAACAAAGGGTCTCATGCTTCCATTCCATTCCATATCTGCCTTCACTTTCCTCCTGTCTCTTGCTTCAAATCCAACCCAAAGTTATGCGTCTTATATGGGCCAAACTGTGTTCGGATAGATGGACCACAAAGACAGAGATGTGTGATCGAGTATGCTGAGAGATGTGAGGCGTGGAGAGGGAGGTCTGAGAGGTGAAAGGTTCTATTCCTCCCTTTATGGATGCAAGGAATGGGATGGAAGAGAAGGGATGATACTTGTGAGCTTCTTGGCTCTGGCTACTTCACTTTTGGGGCGCAACAAAGTTTTATGTTTAATGACGAAGCCGTATTGTGGAGGAGTAGTCAGAACGAGGCGTGGGAAAGGGAAGGCATATGTCAGTTGGTACTGGAAGCAGCTATCACAGGGGACCATATATTTTGATCAACACCTTTGAATTCTCTCTTTCCCTTTCCCAACCGACATCTCTCTCTCCCCCTAATTCTATCTATCTTTTTTTCCCTTTTTCCCCTCAAGATGATGTCAAATAGTATTTCATCCTAGGTCTCACTCACATTACATACTCATCTCCTTCAACATTTTTTTAATAGTAAAAACTGGCCTGGTTTCTTCAAAAAGTTGGGTTCATTGTTTGTTAGTATGACATTGGGGGGGAGTGGGGCTTGTAAAATAGACAAAATTAGACCCAAAAATGCTTGACCAACATAGAAGAGGCTTGGCTTCCAAAGTGGGTGACCAGTACACAAAGGCCTGACACAAGTGCAGCAGCACCTGTTAAAAATAACAAGTAAAGATAAGGGAAAGAAACAGAAGGTTGAGGCACATTTCTGTGGCTTCGACCCCCACCCCTCTCCCTTTCGCCTTTATTATAACGTGGCAGGGAAGCAGGGAAGAAAGCTGATACTTTCTGTGTCTCTCTAGCCGTCTGTGCATCAAATCGGGATCTGGGTTTAGTTTTAACTTTTATTATTGTTGAAAAATTGAAACGCAATTCAATTTCTAGTTGCAGTGCAGGCCATCACAGGTTCAGGGCCATCTAGAGGCAACTTAACAGAAACAAGGATCCCAATGGGATTGGGAGGAATTGACCTCCAAAATATTGAAAGAGATGGATGAATGTGGGGGTCATTATAGAATCGAAGTTCTACTTGTGCATCGATTTAAAGTTGTCATATTTAATTGCGAGACTCTGCCACGAGGATATGGCCAAAATATAACGAGGTCAAATTCTAGATTCAAAGAGGTGCAGGCAATTCTCTGCACCTCTTTTGTAGTTTCTCTTGTTTTTTATGCTTATTGAAAGATAACACATTTATTGGCCCCTTTAGCCATCACATGCACCCCTTTAAGTTTTCACAGGTCAATAGTTCCGAACGAAAGGGGTCAAAACCAACAAATATCAGTGCTTGTAATTAATTTTGTGCGTCTAAAATGGGACCAAGGGGCTTCAAGTTTCTGATTAAGAGACGGCTGGACCTCTAAACTAGACGTGACATGTCTTGCATGAAGTTCGAAGTGAAACTCAAGCGCTGAACTTTATCGAATGTTTCTTCCATCATGCACGTCTATAATTTCATCCAACATCGAGTTCTTTGTACCATTTTTCATGCACGATAATTTTCTATCAAGTTCTTTGTCAATGTTCTATAACAAACCATATTATGAGTTGTAACAGAGCAGTAGAAATATATTGAAATGGTGTCCTCCAACCAAGGGGTGCCTAAACCACCTCTGAACAGGCTAGTTGAGCAAGCAAGTACTATTCTTCTTCCTCTTCTACTCGAAGCAATGTTTGATTGATCTGCTTCAAAAAGATTTCTAGCGATAGAAATGTGTAGCACCATGCAAGTGACCAAAAGGTATTTTTAGGATAGTAACAAAGTAGAGAGCTTTATAAGCTGGCAACGAGGAATATCTAAGAAGCTAGGATTTATGAAAACAAAATGACAAATTAAGGGTGAGACTGATACTGATAATACCTGCAAAAAGTGAAACTTACGTCATGGATTGGTGAAAGAAAAGGAGGGGGGGTCCAGAATGGGGTGGGTGAATCTTGTAAACTAGAGAACGTAGAGTGAAATGTTTCACTAAAGAGTGGAACTTGTGAAATTCCTTTCAACCCTACCCTACAAAATTTAGTTAGCCTAAGAACTAGTCGTAGTGAAAACAGAGGGTGCGCAAGAACAACTATTAGTGAACGTACGCAAACGGCGCCGAATATGGACCATGGCCTCTTAACATCCTACTTGGCATGATGTCATAGGGCTAATCCTCCCCACTGAGATTTGCAGATCCTTACCATTGCTTCATTCCAAACCATTTAATACATTAAACTGAAGGTAGGGTGGATCATTTAATTCTTTCAAACCACCCAACCACAACACCAAACAAGAACCAAAATATCAGGTCTCAAAGCTTTGACTCCATTACTGTGCTGTGTGAGGCAGTCCGGAGATGGCAAGGACTAGGAAAAATATTACCTTATCCCCTACAACCTTTTACTCTTCCTTGTTCCCCTTCCCCTCCACTTGTCTGACTCAAAACCAATACGAGTAACAACTATGTTCCCTTTCTCTTGCACTACAAGCGACGGTGTCCAGAATGATGCCTTGTTTCGGCACACTATGCTCTTCAAGTCCTGACCTTTACATTTAATTCATGGGCAGCTCATGCGGTTTTTACCTCTTTCACATGGAGACAAGGCAAAAATAGTGATCTCAACTTGCACCATCTGACTCTTACGAACCCAAATTCAAAGGGACGCGTGTTCCATCATGAACTCCACGTTTAGCTATCAAAACTTGGTTCAGATTTACACTACCCACAATTTTTGGGTTGATTGTTGTCGTCAAATAAAACAAGGCGAAACACCTCCGAAATGTTTTTATGTTAAATGACGTCTAAATATCTGAATTTGTTCTGTATAGGGTAACTTAAATTTACATTTTAGATTTTTAAAGCGCATAGCGCTGTTGTTGTTCTTTGCTCAGTGATGCAGAGTTTAAAAAGGTAAATTTCTGGTTGAGGATGGTCCCGGATGCAAAGTTTACGAGACACAGTGAGCCGCCTGCTCAGCCATGTTTTGGTTTTCTTGCAGATCTAAGCTGGGTTGCTTCTCTTGGCTAGTTTGCAGTTTTCTTTCTACTTGCATCGTTTCTATTTTATTCCTCGTGCCTCCAAAAAGATTAAAATACCTCCGAAAGTACTAATTTTCGTATGGTATCCATTTTGATCTGCTTGAAAATTGTTCACCTGCCGCGAGTCATTTAGGAACTAGTAATTAACCCCATACGATGCGCCTGACGATGAGGTAAAATTGGAAAGAAAAAAAAATCTTGTCACATAATAAAAACAGAAAAGTAACATGATTATAAGAATCAATTGATCCGCATATTCTAACACCAGATCAATAGAGAGTCAAAAGGCAAGTTGATGTTGTATGAAGTTACCAAAACAATCATCGATTTTTAGTTAAACATGATAACAGAGGTCAGTGCATGTTGCCCAAAATGTTAGCCACAAGTTAATCGATCACAAAATGTAATCCAATAGAAAGGTGGAGCACTAATCACATTAATCACATCTCTCCTTCTTTATTATTTATTTATTTATTTAGCATTGTCATGTAAAACTACACACTAAACTTCAATTAGTACGTGCACGTAGTTTTAGATTGCCTCTTCCTGAAGCTTTTTCCCGAGACTTGGTAGAAGAGTAAAAACAAGTCTCCACTCTAGTGTTGATGCTACTTTCGATGTAACAGCCCTCCTGGGTCACCACTGCCTCTCCAGGGTCTTTTCCCAGGCGCTGGACAACACATATGTCACCACATGATTGCCCGGCTTTTCCACTGGTAGTACTGTGGCTATTCCTCACCCCACCCTCACGGGGGTCTTTTGGAACCTCCCCAGACTCGAACCTCCAACCTCTACCACCTTAACGAAGTTGAGGCGAAGTCTGGTAGAGGTTGGAGGTTCGAGTCTGGGGAGGTTCCAAAAGACCCCCGTGAGGGTGGGGTGAGGAATAGCCACAATACCACCTGTGGTAAAGCCGGCATTACCTTGTGAGAGGGAAGTGTCCAGCGCCTGGGAAAAGACCCTGGAGAGGCAGTGGTGACCCAGGAGGGCTGTTATATAAAAGGCGCCTTTTATGTAACAGCCCTCCTGGGTCACCACTGCCTCTCCAGGGTCTTTTCCCAGGCGCTGGACAACACACATGTCACCACATGATTGCCGGCTTTACCACAGGTGGTACTGTGGCTATTCCTCGCCCCACCCTCACGGGGGTCTTTTGGAACCTCCCCAGACTCGAACCTCCAACCTCTACCAGACTAACGAAGTTGAGGCGAAGTCTGGTACCATTACTCAATGGTACCAGACTTCGCCTCAACTTCGTTAGTCTGGTAGAGGTTGGAGGTTCGAGTCTGGGGAGGTTCCAAAAGACCCCCGTGAGGGTGGGGCGAGGAATAGCCACAGTACCACCTGTGGTAAAGCCGGCAATCATGTGGTGACATGTGTGTTGTCCAGCGCCTGGGAAAAGACCCTGGAGAGGCAGTGGTGACCCAGGAGGGCTGTTACATAAAAGGCGCCTTTTATATAACAGCCCTCCTGGGTCACCACTGCCTCTCCAGGGTCTTTTCCCAGGCGCTGGACACTTCCCTCTCACAAGGTAATGTCGACTTTACCACAGGTGGTACTGTGGCTATTCCTCACCCCACCCTCACGGGGGTCTTTTGGAACCTCCCCAGACTCAACTCTCCAACCTCTACGAAGATTAACGAATTGAGGCTAAGTCTGGTACCACTGAGGTGGTAGAGGTTGGAGGTTCGAGTTTGGGGAGGTTCCAAAAGACCCCCGTGAGGGTGGGGTGAGGTTCCAAAAGACCCCCGTGAGGGTGGAGTGAGGAATAGCCACAGTACCACCTGTGGTAAAGCCGGCATTACCTTGTGAGAGGGAAGTGTCCAGCGCCTGAGAAAAGACCCTGGAGAGGCAGTGGTGACCCAGGAGGGCTGTTATATTCGACGTCCACGCTGAGGTGTTCCTGCATATACTGTCACGGACGGGTCTGGTGGTTTTGTTAATAATTGTGAGTTCATGTGCGAGGCCAGAGAAAGAGAACTGATGGAACTGTGAGATTAATTAATTAACAAGTTAAATATGGGAACGGGGACCTACGTACGATGGAGCAGGTAAGAGAGTGCAATGAATGAATGGAAGTAAATTTGAAAGCCATCGTTTCCGTGTTCTGCCGTAGACGAGAATGATGCGTGGTGGCTCCCGATTCAATGCGAACACTAATAAAGCGCTACATCCTCCATGATAATGACGTATCTTCACATGGATTTTTTTTAACCCTCCGTTGAAATGGTGCCCTCGATAAAATGATACAGCCAAGTGTCCCCGATGGGTTATTGCCTTGCCGGATTTATTTATTTTTGGGCTCGAGAGAAATTTCTACGTTCACGGTTTAGCTACGTCAGCGCCTTGCTTCAAATGACGGGCAATCCTCTAGTCATACTTTTTTAATCATTTTATCCTAGTACATTAATTTTAAATAATTATTTTTAATACTAATTATTGTTATTTTTTTAAAAAATAAACTTAATGTATCAATATTTAAAAATATTTTATCAATATTTAAACTTTTAATGTAAAAAAAAATTCTTGTCATAAAACTAATAATATTACGATTAAATGATAAAATATGCTTTTTTAAAATTAAGAAATCAAAGTGAAGCTTTGGCTTATATAAAATTAAAATATTAAAAATATATTTTTTTAAAGTTAATGGATCAAGGTGAAACCTTAACTTGTATGAAATTAAAGGATTAAAAATATATTTTAGTTTATAAATTGTTATATTAATTAATAGTATGTGTTCTTCTAATATATTTGAAAAAGGGACTAATATGAACAATTAAGTATTATTTTATTTTAGGAGTGAATAAAAAATAATATTAAAAATAAATAAAATACTCCAAGATATCCTATAATAAAAATATGGATCATTCATTATTATTTTTCAATCTTATTTTTTAAGAATCTCTTATAAGTAGAGCAAGAGGCAATATATGCGGGATTTGAATTTGGTAAGTGGTCTAAATCTACTCATTCAAAATTTTGTGAGACAAATGAGAAATGTTTTAATTATGAGGATTGTTTTAATTTTTTTAAATATATTTTCTGATAATTTTTAAATATTGATTAAATATATTAACTACAATTGAAATACTTATTGACTAGGTGGATTGGAGCTATTCATTATTCCAAATCCACGCATAAGAGAGAAATTATTTTTTAAAAATGACATATTTAATAAGAGTAAACCCAAAAAAAAAATTCCTTTTTTAAGTAATACCAATACTTTAATTACTTTTTCTTGATTTCTATACAGTAATTAAAAATAACTTATTTATAAGATGCATGGTAAGGAATATGTGAAAAAAACATATAGTATATTATACATGTAATTTATCGGGAGAAAGAACATGTCTATCCGTGTCAAAGGATGTGGGGAGTTTTGAATGAGAGTAATTAAGTGATATGTACGCATACACATTTTGAAAAGGGGGGGGGGGGGGGGGGCGCGTTTGGCCCCCCTGGGTGTCAAGTGGTTACACCACTGCTAAAAATAAATTCAAATGCCAGTGGTCTTGTATTTCAGTGGCATTAACACTCTTTTTATGACAAGGAGGACATGATTTTGAGCTTTTTAGAGTGGGTAATTGTGGAGGGTGTGAATTTCCTTCCTATAAAGATGTAAATGTAGATGGGAGGTGAGTATTATTAAGTAATTGACTCCTTAAAAAAAAAAAAATCAAATGTTCATTTCACTCCATCTAGTTACTCATTCATATATATATATATATATATATATCACATTTGATAAACAAAAATTGATAGGCCATTTTTTAAATCATCTTATATTAATTATTTTACTTTAATTTTACCATTTCACAATTTTTTGAATAGAGCAAAACATTAAATGCATGATAAAAAATTTATCTATTTTTGAAACAAAATCAATAATTTAACTACCTTTCTCTTAAGTTCCAAAGTTCCAATCAAATAACCAGAAGTGACTTATATATAAAATTAGAGAAGCGCTCCTTGATAAAAAGAGATAACTACAATTATATTACAATGATAATAAACATGTAATAACTAACAACCTATTTTTTTAAAAAAAAAAACAAGTACACTTTTTTGTTTTTTGGGTTCCTTTTCTATAGCTTAACTTGGCTCAACGGACAAAGGTGTAAAAAACATGAAAACAGCTAAACAGGCCAACCAAAATAAATAAATACATAAAATAACTCTCGGTGAAAGACGACATCCTCCAAATTCTCACTCTTCTTGGAAAGTAGACTGTGTAAAATGTATGATAGATGATCTGGGCACAGTATTACGAGACATCTAACATCGCCAAAAGGAACCCCTCTATGCGCGGCTGCTTCAAAATGCCTTTTCTCTAGCGTTCCTTCAAATTACTAGGAATAATAAATACCGAATCTACACAAAGCCCACCTTTGGAATGCGTACAATCGATCTGCTTCATGGAGAACCTGACTTCAGTGGTAGGTTCAATTCCACTGACAACAAATTCGCCCACCTTGTAATTCACCCAGCATCCCCGCTTATGGTTGCCGTATGCATCAACACACTCTGTTTCATCCAAACAGTGCTCACCCGACGCTTCCTGGCCATCTGAAGTTGACAACTCAAATTTCACTGGTTTTATATCCCAACCATGGGTGTGCTCGTAATTGCATACTCGCCTTCCAAGCCTTCTGGAAAATTTTCCAAGGTGGAGCCTGAAGCAGACAGTATAAACGTCAGCAGGAAAGGGAAACTTCACATCACCATCCACTTCAAACCACCATATTTGTTGCAAATAAGCCACAGTTTGGAACCTGCAAATCATTGTAACACCATGCTCAGAGCATTAAAATTTATTGTGCAAGACGTGGAAACAAGAAGTCGACAGAACGCAAGACAACCTAAAAAGTCGGAAGGAAAATAAAATAGCTTCAATATCAAGATCAGTTAGCATGCAACGGTAAGCTGATATAATGACATCATGGGATGAAATTGAGAATCGTGGATTGATCGAGGGTGAACAAACCAATCAACATCACATTTGTTGGATTCGTCAAATAGGTTCTTGGTTCGCTAAGGTTGCATATTTTAAGGGTCAGTTTGGTTTAAGGTCACGAGATAAGGTCCAAATATTCAAACTGAATCGAGCAGCAAATATCACACTACCATTCTGAGTCACAAAACTAGAACAGCGAGTCCTTCAACCTCAACCAGCTTTAGATACAAACACAAACAAAGTATAATGCTCAATTTATTTCATGTCAGTGCTTTGGATATGTTTCCTTTTCAGGAATTTTATAGCTTTCACATTTTTCACACCAGTCTATTTTTGTTCAAAGATAAGCACATTTGACGAAGGGGCAAAAAACGAACATGTTAAAACTTAGTTGAGGAAGTCTTTGCTCACATTCAACAGCTCTAAATTAAGAGTCCAAATTAAGGGAATCAACCACGTTCACAAGGTAATTAAGCTTGGTCCTGGAACTGCAGTGCATGTATAACCTTGAAAATGAACCAAGCATCACCTCAAACACTTAACCCACACATCACAAATAAGAATTAACATCTTATAGACAAGAGTTTAAGAGCAACAGAAAGTTAATACGTCACAAATTATCAAATTAAAGCGCCAATAAATGATAACAACTCGACAATGTCTGAGTACCCAAATAACAGCTTATCAGAAATTTGTACCGCAGTGTCTGAAACGAGAGAGATCTTCTCTATATCTCAAGTATAGAACCATCATTCATCAAATTCATAATTTGGTCCAATCAGCATCAAAACTAAATGTTAATAATACCTGTTTCTCAAAAGCTTGCAAAATTTGTTTAAACTGTTATATTTAATTGTTGTTATTGTTGTTGTTGTTGTTGTTGTTGTTGTTATCTAATTTGTTATTCAGTCATTACCTAGTCAGTTAATAGGATAAGATATGGATCTATGTGTAAATTAGATTTATGCATATATATTACCATCTTCCTGGATTATATGATTTCTCCTAGTATACATACACCTACTTACAGGAATGAAATAGATAGAGAAATACTCTGATTCATATATATTCTCTAATTTCCAAGAAACATACAAAGCAAGCCAATCAGACAATCATAAACATTAACAAGCAAATCAAGCGTACAAATTAGAATGCAGAATTTGGTAGGTCTAAAATCATACTTAATTTGTCTAAAATAAGTAGTTCTGAATTTGTATAATATCAAATATAGTTAGGTAGATCTTGAGATTTAACATTCAAATAAAATAAAAGAGAGAGGTTTGAGGGGAGGGTATAAGGAAACTTCTGTTTGAAATAAAAGCTGGCTAGTTCTTAAGTTTGACAAATACCCCTAAAGCTCTGAGGAGTCGGGATACATGCAGTAATCGGCTTATTTGATTCTCTAAACCTTATCTAGTTTCCAAGAGTCCCTCTTTCAGATAAAGCTCCGTTTCGTTCTTCATCAACTAGCCCGCCAATCACGCACAAACTAGAACATTCACCCCTTGCTCGCATAACATGCTTTAGGCCTCACACAAATAAATTGACCTTTCATTAATTATAACCATTTTACTAGAAAATGTACGTGTCAAACAACTTTCAAAAGCCACAGTGTTTTTCATCTTCTTCAGTGAAGCTCGACACTAACTCAACTTTATGGTTCTCATTTCTTAAAAGTTTGAAACCGATCAGACATTGCAATGTGCGCAGCTGAAACATAAGCCGATAAGGGGTATCTGTAATCCATTTTGGAAGTTTACCACATGCCCAACTCGAGCTCTAACCTTAAGCAAACTAAAGCTAAGGTAAGAATTCTGATTCTAACCTAGATTCTTTTGTGGGAATCCAATTCCAGTATCTGCGATCATCAATTCCAGTAATCGCCGTTGCTTTCGCCGATATGGACATGCAAACTTTCCCCGTGACCCTGTCCAGCCAAACTTCCTGTAAAATCCTATAGCATCAATTTAGTCGAACACAACATACAAAATAGTACAAGATTCCAACTACTCAAACGCCATCTCTCTTAACCTAGAAGAAAACTATCCAGCAACGCAGAAACACAACCAATCCCAGAACAGCAAAAACCCCTAAAACCAACTAAGGAAAAAAAAATTACAGAACCCTAATCCCAAAATCAAAAGAAACAACGAGCACAACTCTTATGTTGCAAACTGACCCGAAAAGCATCTACCTTATTGCCATCGTCGAATGGCACTGGTCGAGACAGTAGCGCAAATATGTCCTTCTTGGATAAATTCTTGTACCTTTCGGGAGGCATTAAATCCAGCAGATGTTGATAATTAGGGGGCAACTTTGCTTCCCACACGGAATCAGCAGACGCCGCACCACGGAAAGCTCGATTCAGGCGCGCCAAATTGCATATTTCCGGCGGAGTCAAATACAGAAAAACACAGGCCACGCAGCTCTCGGGAATGTCCCCAAGGCCCGGACCGATGTTGGTGCCGTTCGTTCCCAGGGCGGATAGCGAGGCCCCCATGTTGACCAATGTCTCAAATTTTGTAGAGTAACTGTCAATTGCTCCGGCTCATGGCAGCAACCAAGTGCCGGGGTCACCAACAAGGAGTGAGATGCAAAAGAACGAAAGCGGGATGTATAAGAATCAAACAGAGATCAAGAGGTTCAACGAGAAAAGAATTGACTTCAGAGCATGAGGTCAGCGGACGAAAATTAGTGATATTTTAGTTCGTAGCTAGAGTCACCAAAGACGCCAAGCAAGATTTTTCCCCGCAGCGTTTGCCTGGGAACCATTGAGCAGGCAGGGTCCTAGGCCCCACCATTGATTCAGTGCACGGACAATCTGTCTTAACTGCCAGGTGTAGGAAATGAAACAGCAGAAAGCGACTTGAAACTATTCCTTCTCATTTCTCACTGGACTGGGGAGATGAGAATTGTGCACCTCACCGCCCAAAATTATAGCCAACTGGTTCAAGTCAGCCGTGGCTGTGTTGGACCCTGTATTGCTGAACTCTCTCGACTCAAATGTAGGACTTGTTTGACAATTTATCTTAAAAATAATTTTCTGTTTTTTTAAAAGAAAAAAATATATATTTAATAATGTATTTTTAAAAATTATTTTTGAAGATAAAAAAATAAAATATTATTTTAGAGAATAGAAAAACAGAAATATCTTTTAGATGTTCTAAAATTATTATTTTGAAAATAAGAGAAAATATAAAAAAATATCTTTTTTATTTTTTTATTTTCAGAATATATTTTACAAAACACCAGTTCTCATAACAATAAAATAAAAATAATTTCAAAGAAGCTCATAGTGTTCGTTGATTAACAACAACAAAAATACAAGTGTCATTTATCCTAAAATGCACATAACCTATATATACTGATTAGGACATGATACAATCACTTTCTATAATAAGCTTTAGTTTAACATAATTAATACTATTTAGGCTTTACGCACCCTCTCAAGTCAGGATCCTACAAATTAAAGATTGCTAACTTGCCTTATATGCATGTCCCATCCAAGTGCCTTAAAACTTCAGCCTATTAGTTGTAGGATCTCACATGATGAAGCTTAATTAGTTTTTGTTAAAACTTTTCCCTGACAAAGTAGCAATCTATCTTAATATGTTTTGTCTTCTCATGAAAAATGAGATTGGTTACTATGTGAATGGCAGCTTTGCTATCATTGTGTATATCAGCTACTCTTGTCTCGATTCCTATATCTACCATCAACCAAGAAATCCAAGTAATTTAATTTAATTCCTACTATTATGATGGCCAAAGCTTGATATTCTACCTCTGCTGAATATTGGAAGAATGCATTCTACTTCTTTGACTTCTAGGAGACAAGTTTATGCAACCTTGACAATACAACTAGTCTTATATTTCCATAAGATATCGACTCCTTATCGTTATTTGATGAAAAAAGTATCCCAAGGCTTAGGTTTCCTTTAACATATCTTACTGGCTACTCGTAAGGAAGTGTCCATATGAGATTTATTCGGCTTTTGCATGAACTGAATTAGCACTTATATAGGAAAGCAAATGTCAAGTCTAGTCATAGTTAAGCACTATAATTTCCTAACAAGCTGTCTATAAGAATCAAAACTAGAGAGAAAGTAACCAGTCTTTTATTTCTTCTCTTCCTTACCATTTTTGTTTCTTTTATAATGATATTAGATGGATATTATGCTCTATTAGAGTACTAATAGGCTTACCAACATTTGTCCTTATGTCAACAAGCATATCTAAAACGTATTTCCTTTGATTCAAAGCTATTCCCCTTTCAAATTTGATAATTTCTAACCCTAGAAAACGTCTCAAAACTCCTAAATCTTTAATTTTAAAATTAATGTGTAGGCGTGTTTTTGCTTTATTTATTTCATCCAAATTACTCCTAGTGATAACTAGATCATCCACATAAACAATTACTATAACTACTTTATAAACAATTACTAACTAGATCATAACGACTCCATCCAAAACCTACTAAATCATTAGTTAACTTAACATTCCATTGCTTAAAGGCTTAGTTTAGCCCATACAGTGATTCGGTAAGCTTACAACTATATTAGATTTAATTTGTCTAAACCGTTGAGGCATACGAATGAAGGTCTCTTCATCCAGATCTCCTGAAGGAATGCATTGTGGATGTCCATATAAAATATAGGCCATTTATGGACAACAACTAGTTTGAGAATAATATGCAACATTACCATCTTGAGTACTGGGGAAAAGGTCTTTAAGTGGTCAATCCCCTCCTTTTGGTTATAGCATTTGGCTACAAGTCAAGCTTTTAGTTTGTCTAAGCTGCCATATGCTTTCTACTTGACTTTGAATACCCATTTGCATCTAATGGGTTTCTTTCCTTGTAGTAAATCCACCACATTCCAAGCATGGTTTGCCTTCAAAGCTTGAATTTTATCCTTCATCGTCTATACCCATCGAAGATCTCTAATGGCTTCTTCATAGGAACTTATTTCACAAATAGAATCAACATTAAAATTAAAATTTTTTGTAAGAAGAGATAGAGGAATAAGACAAGTAAGCTTGATTTAGATATAAAGGAGATACTCGCAATGCAAATTTGGTGCTATGAACTGATTAGACTATCCCTTTAAGTGATTGATCTAAACTTGATAAACCAAAATAGTCACAGTTTGTCAACCAGGCAAGCTTCTTCCTCTTTCTTGTAGTTCTAGGTGGCTATGATAAAGGAGTAGGTGGAGGAAGTGATGGTTCTAGATATGTAAGAATTTTAGTTTCGGTTTAAGGCATGTATCTAGTTGTATTTCTTACTGTTGCTATAGGGAGAAATACGTGACAATATCATATATAAAGGGGTCTTATTATGGAAGCTTTACTCCCCCTTGACTGATATTCATATAATCTTTAAATGGGAAGCGATGCTTAATGAAAACAATATGGCAACTAACAAATAATGATTTAGTTGTGAGATCATATAACAAATAGCCTTTATTAGTTCTTAGGTATTGCAAAAATATGCAAGGGTCAGATTTAAGTTCTAATTTATCAAAATTATGTAACCTGAAGACAAAAGTAAGGTAGCTAAAAAATTTCAAATGATATATTCAGGAGCAAAATTATGAACAATTTCATATGGTGATTTAAAATTCAAAATTTTACTTGGAATTTTATTGACCAAATAGACAGCAGTTTTATCACACCCCCCCAAATCTTAGATGCACTCCTGATAGAAAGATTAAACTTCCTAGTAATCTCTAATATGTGCCTGTGCTTCCACCCAATGACCCCATTTTATTCAAGTATATAAGGACATGAGGTTTGATGTATTATACCTTTTTCTTCAAAAAGTAATCAATTTTCATGATTGAGAAATTTAGTTTCATTATCACTTCTAATTATTTTAATAGTAATACTAAATTGATTTTGGATATAGCCTAGAAAGGATTTAATATGACAAAAAACCTTACTCTTATGTTTAAGTAAAACAACTCAAGTACCTTATGAAAAATCATCAACGATGGTCAAAAAATGATGAAAACCTTAGTGTGTGTGTTCCTTGTAAGGTCCCCACACATCCATGTGAAAATTATAGAAGCAAGAAATAGATTTAGTATCACTATTCATAAAGGGAAGCTTAAGTTATCGAGCCTAAATCACAGGAACTAGAATCCATATCAATAATATTATGTCTGAGAGTTTCAAGGTACGTAAGTGCACGAAAAGAAGTATGGCCTAACCTATAGTGTGATATTTGACTATTGTTTAAACTATCTTTATTGTGAGTAGGAAAAGATGATTCAAAAGTTTGAGTTATATCAATCTTTAAAAAATATAATCTATCATTAGATTTACTAATCTCCATAATCCTTTTAGTTTTGAGGTCCTGCAAACAACAAAGTTTAAGATGAAAGGGTATAATATAGGATATATCAACAGTCAATTATGATACAAATATAAGATTAAAACATAAACCATGGACATATAAAATATTATTTAAGGTTATATGTTTAGATAGTCAAAGAGAACTGACATGAGTTATAGTTAGAAGTTGCCTATTAAGAATTTTAATTTTCTTAATAGGCCTTGAATAAGATGTATAATTATCCAAATATGCTAAACTACTCACAATATGATAGGATGCTCCTTAATCTAATAACCATTCATGTTTGAAAAATTGTAGGTTATAAGGATCACGTAAACCTATCATGTTGCCTGTCATCCTTGCAAACCCTTCATTAGAATCCTTCTTAAGGAGCTAAAGAATTTGATCATCCTACTACTAGGTAAGTATAGGTGCGATAACGTGGTTGAGGAGGATGAAGGAATCCCTTCTGAGTTGCCTTGATCAGAGGAGGTTTGGTTTACGTGTCCCTCTCAAGGAGTGTCTATTTGATTCCCTCAATAGTTAGGAGTAAAGCTAATAAGTTGGTATCAAGAGTCACATATATATCCCCTTCTATGGTAAAGGGGACATTAATTGAAATTGTTAGTTCTGCCTCCACCCCAAGAGCGCCTTCCTCTCCTATTTCTACCCATATGAGTAGCTGTAATTGTAGAATTACTAAGTAGAGGCAAGAGAGCAATAGAATTCAACATACCTTGCTTCTTGTCTTAAAAAAAACCATGGCATAAGCCTGGTTGACAGTAGGAAGTAGACCAAGCAAAAGAATATGGCTCCTAGTTTATTGAAATGAGTCATTTAAACCTATTAAAAACTTAAATAAATAAATGTTGATCTTGAATTATATATGCATACTCCTTCAATGTTTGGCACTAGTAGGTAAGGATGACTAGAACACTAGAATATTCATTACATAAATCTTTAAGTTTTGTATAGTATTAGGATGTTATCATAGTACCTTGACTGAGCGAGTAAATAGCATGATGAAGGCTAAAGATCTTAGCAACATCATACTTGTCAAAATGTTCATGCAAATCAGTTCATACTAAGGCTGGTGATTTAGAAAATGTGAGACCTATAGAGAGATCTATATCCATCGAATTGATTATCCAAGACAAAATCATGACATTACACCTGTCCCATTAAGGACGGGAGAGGCATTGGTTATGTATCATGGGAATAATAATCATCCATAAATCTTAATTTGTTCTTCCCTAAAAGAGCAATACGCATCGCTCGACTTTAACTTGAGTAGTTCCTAGAACCAGTGAGAAGATGAGGAGCTAGGGTTATGGCCTGGGTCATTGAAGGGTGAAGAAAAAGAGGGTGTTGAAAATTGATTGTAGATGTGGTATCCTTAATTGTGGAATTGCCATCAAGGGCCATCGAGACAAGGACGCAATCAAAGATGATGAGAGAAAATGGTGAGGCTAGGAACACAGACAACT